GGTGTTTCATTTCAGAATTTCAGTTATGGCGTGGAGAAGAATTCCAATTTCGTTTTTATTCTCATTTCCACTCTCTCTTTCTGATTTTGTATGAGTGTTTATGTTCTCTTCCTTCGAGATGGGTGCCTATTTTAATCACAAATGCCGGATTTGTGAGGTTCAGTGGCAGTGTGGAGAAGAAACTAATCTCCAGTTTCCACAACGCTTTTAGATTTCAAGTGATTGTTCTCTCTCTGTGATTAGTTTGTTTACTCTCTTTTCTTGATGGTTTCGTTTTCATTCTTTCTTTTGTCAGGGGGTTTGTTCGTCTCCTTTCAAAGGAGGTTCGGACGGCGAGTTTTGTGGCAAAGAAATTGATCTCAAATTCTTAGGAAACTTTATTTCCCGTTGAGCTTGCGAAGCAACAGGCGGAACCTACTGTGGTGGTGAGCTACCTCTCTTTATCTGATTCCTTTCTAAGGTTCATGTTTACTTGGATATTTGTTTAAATCGTTTGTTTGTTCTCTATTAGGAGCGGCGACGACTGTTTCACCGGCCACTTCATAGCAGATTTTGCACTCTTGAAGGTTAGGTACATTCTTTTTATAGGCTGAAACGAATGCAGTTAGGATCTGTAGTTGTTGAATGTGTTATTGCCTTATTGCTCTGTAACCCAACTGCTATAAATTCTATCAGGGTCCTGCAAATTCGAAAAACTCTTTTCAGTTCGTGCACTTTATGATGTTGTCTTTTTCCTTCCAAGCTTGATGTGAATGTACGACATCCCAATTGCTGGTAGGACAGTTGGTGTGATTTTCGGTTCTCAAACTTCTATTTACGGCACTTGACTCCTGCTATAATATCTATGCACTTCACTGCTACTTATGTCAATTGCATATGTACCATGTAGGTCTTTGAAAGTTCGAATCTTTGCTAACTTATCCATAAAAGTGCGCTTCTTTGCTTTTGGTTATATATTCCTTTCTTCATGATGATGCCTTTTTCGGTTTAAAATTTTGGAGGTTTGTGTATGGATATAAGAAATAATTGGTGTGGCCTTATCTACTTTTCTTTGCCCTGGAGGAAACAGTATTTGATTCCTTCTTGGACGTCTCAGGAATTAAGACCTTGGAAAATTGATTTGCCTTCACTTGATCCTGGTGAGCATCTCTACTTCTTTCATTTGGTTTTATGCTCTGCCTATTTACTTCATTCTACCATTTGATTCTTTGAGATTTATTTTCTAGGGTCATGGTTAGACTGCATTTGGTTTAGTAATTTGGCTGATTTCCTCATTATGACGTTTGATTAGCTCCCAATTTTTGAGGTTATGCTTCAAAGCCCTCATTTGGATATGATTTCTGAGTTGTTGATTTTGCGGGGAAAAGCCAATTGAACTTTGATGATTAGGGATGATCAGACGAACTCCTCATTTCTTCCTAAAAAATTGTTTTCATACTTTGAAAAAGGATAAGTAACCATAAAACAAGTACCTAATACACTCACAAGAGAAGAGCTTCCTGTTGTACCATATACTACCTGGGCTTGGATTTCTTTGGAGTTCCTTTAATGTCTGTTGATGCAATTGTTGAGTTCTATTTTTGCCTTTTTTACGCTTTCCTCACCATATTCTGTGTAGTCTCTGATAGCCCGTGTGATTATTTCTCTGTCAACCATATTATGTGTACTCTCTAACCGTTGGATTATCGGATGCAATTTCTTCTAGGGTTGTCTCTCTGAGCTTCTTACTAATTTGTCTCTATGGCCTATAAGATGGGATACAGTGCTGAGGGGTTTAGGAAGCTCAATCCTTTTATTTGTTTTCCATTGGTTATGTTTTGATGTGGTTTTGGCATTATCCAATCAGTTGATAAAACCCTTTTTAGTGTCCTCTTTACAGACAACTGATTAGTGTTTTTATTTCCCTTGATTCCTTTAACCCTCAGTTGACTCCTCAAATCTCTGGCCTAGGAAGACATGATGGACGTACTTGGGAGTTTTAAATTTATGTTTACTTCGGTGGTTGAATTGGAACTGCCTGCTTGATTGCTCATTTTTGTTTTAATGTATACATGGACTACTTGAGTTTGACTAAGGTTGCCATCTGCTGTAATGATCCATCTTTTGTCATCTCAGACTCGACCCGTAAAGGCTCGGAAATTCAGTTCTACTGATCTATGACTTTCCTCTGTAAGTCCATTTCTTATCACTTCCGACTCTTTCCTTTATTTATTGACATCCAATTGAGAATGAAGGTTGATAAGTTGTTTTAGGGATCATTTTCTGTAGTTACGATTGTCCGTTGCCGCCCCATCATTCTGTGTCACTAAAGACACAAACCGAGAAGCACTGACCTATAAATAGAAACTACTGTCTTTTCCCATAAGTGAATTCGGATTTGAATGCTTGTGTTCTTCTCAATCATGTTAGTTTTGTATTATCTATAGCTTACTTTTCACAATTCTCCTTACCCTTCTTTTACTCTTTCCGGATGCTTTTTACCCGAATTATCTTGCTATCTTACCTATGCCTTACATCAAGTTTATTGGGTTTCTCCTAATATCAGGTCCTTGCCTATCTTTCAATCTGTGAAGAAAGGGCAAATCTTTAGCTGACTCCTCACTCCCATGATGAGGTGCTTTTATGCAACTCCTAAGACCTACTCACCTTAGGTTGACCGAACCGTTGCCATCAGTCATTGATTCTCTTTCTTCCATTTCTACTAGAAGATACAAAGGTTAGCTCTTACCTATTCATTCTTTTGGCATAGAACCAGAGAACTTGAGAAACTTATAGACCCTGTAGTCAATAGCACGGTTTGAATGTCTCTAATGTAGTGTTCTATAGGTGATTAACCTGTCACCCTTCTTTCCCTTTAGAGATTTTACAATTTGAATTCATAGTGGCTTGAAACCAAGTGTTCATAGTTTTGTTGCCATTTAATTCTTTTTAATATGACTGCATTTGTAAGCCTGCTTTCTCATGTACCCAATGATTATTGGTTCAGGATTTTGGTCATCAATACTGTTGTTTACTGTTGAGGTTGAGGCGTATGAGTTATCTTTTTTCCAGCATGTGCTCTGCTGTTTCAAGTTTCTTTCAGAAAGAATCTCATTGAGTTTGTCTAGAGCGTAGGTTTTCCCATGTCATGGTGCCGCTTTTGCATTTCACATACTATGGTAACCCTTTGCATTTCACAATACAATTTGGTTTTTGCCAGCAATTAGCTCTTATTTTCCTTCTGGTTGACTGGATAGCTTTTGTTTTTGAAACACACTTTATAGTGAGCGGACCTTTGCCGATCAAACTGTTTGAATGTTCTTTTTCAGGTGAATTACATGAATGTTCTAAGTTGTCTATGTTTTCTTTGTTTCTTCTCAACTCGCTCTTGCCCGTGAATTGCAGTTGTTGACTACAGATGTACAATTCCAGAGATAGAAGCATAGAGCAACACAAATTTGTGCTTTCTTCGTCTGGAATCAAGCTAATTTGGTTAGACAGATTATATCCAAAATACATAGACAGACACGCGTTATGGTATAGAACTTAATTAACATAATAGGGCCATGTATGCACTGTATTTTGCACTATGTAGTTCCTCTATGGCTTGTGGGTTATTGTGCTTTTGAAGTTGGCAAAGATGGAATAATTTACTGGGAATTTTCCTGCTGTACTGCTTGCTGGCCTTTCTTCTTAAGTCAATTCTACTATAGAGTCGTCTACTTATATTGGGTTGTGCAATAGTGCTTGAAGGTCTTTCGCGTTAGAAACATTGGTAATGATCCTTTCTCAGGAAAGTGCGGGTGTGTTCCATGCTGCTTCATCACGATGAGATTTGGAGCGCCATAACGGACAATTAAACTCTTCTGGAAGTCAATTAATTAAGGACACTTAGTTAATTATTATCATTATTATTATGATGAATATGATGCTTAGAGTTGAAACATTCTAATACAAATATTGTTCATGGTGTTCTATTGTATTTACCATTTGATATGATTTATTTGAACGGGCTATTCTTGCAGTTTTTTGGTCCGCTTGAGCCTGGAGCAGAGTTGGTGAGTCTTCATCTTTGCCTTGCTCAGTTGTGCCCAATATCTAATGCAGCCACTCATGTTACAAATTGACAGAAAGTCTTATCCTTGAGATGGTCGGTTTATTCATTTCTACCAGTTTTAAATATGTTCCTTCTATATTGTTGTGTTCAACAGTTCGTTTTGCCTTGCCTGCTTACGAGCCTCCCGTTCTTAGTTCTTTACTCCACCATATTCCCTTTTGGTTTCGTCTTCATGTTTCAAAATTTTCCTTTAACATAATAGGAGGGTGTGACCTTTTTAGTTGTCAGTTGTATATGTAGTTGAATACCAACATAAAGTTATCATACAGATTAAAATAGTCTATTGAAATATTTCAAGGATGCATAATTTGTGACACAGTTTTTATTAGTTCTTTCAGAATTGGTTTTTGTCTTCAGACAGGCTGCACCAACTGTGGTACAGGAGAACAGAAAGGGAAGTCCGACTTTAATAAAGCTTTACTTAGCAGCAGGAATACGCTAGCGCCTCTCAATGTAGCCTGATGGGAGCCACCCTGATTTCCCTTTGCACAAGCTACAGCCGTGCTATTAGCTTGACAACTTCAAAGTGTAGTTATGTTTAGCTCCAGTTGACCTTTTCTATTGTTATTGCACAGGGTGGCATCTGTGTTAATATTTATTCAGAAATTCAAGAACCGAATGCTCATTTCGGTGCAGCATTTGTTTTCTATGCATTGAACATGTAAGCAAAGAAATTGTAGGATTCATTGCCTTCCACACCTGAGGTGTTGAGTTGATTACGATATCAGTTGTCAGGTTAAGTATTCATTTGACAAGCTCATTAGTATTTGTTTCATGATTCTTGACAAATCATGATTGTTTGATTGCATTATAATAACTCTATTTTCATATTTCCCCCCTCACTTATGAATTCGAAGATCAAACACTCTAATCCTCCCGCCGCGAAGCGCGGGCTTCCGTACTAGTACAACAATAATAGGAAGACCTTTATTTTTGTACAAACTTTCCTTAGATGGGCTCAGCTACCAATATCTCGCATGAAGTAAGTAGGTAAGCCAAATGTCGTTGAGCTGAAAAACCGCACGTGCTCATCAGATCTCAACAACCCAGCCTTTCTTGTCCTCGATTGCGCCGCTCTTGATCCCTTCCAGGATCGAGTACAGCTGCTGGGCCACCGTCTCAGCTCCAACCTTGTACTCCAACCTGAAACAAAAACGAAAACCTTGTTTAGTTACTGATCAATAATCCCATAGATCCACCGAGTTCCCTTTTCTCTCGGCCTAGCTACGTGAGATTTAATGTGGGCCGGCTGATCAATTCATCTAAATACCTTTTCCCCTGGTACGTTATGGAGGCGACGGAGGCGACGCCCACCGCTGTTCCTGTGCAGAACACTTCGTCGGCCTCTGCCAGTTCGTCTACTGCCACTGCTCGTTCTTCAACCTGAGCAGGCGTGTCATTTTTAGCTATTGAAGAGAAGTAGTATGAAATTGTCTCGAAATTAAGAAAAAAGGGTTTAACTATAGCTAGCAGACCTGGTAGCCTTGATCGGAAGCGATTTCGATGATGCTCTTGCGAGTGACACCTTGAAGAATAGTCCCAATTGCAGCAGGGGTTGATATCACTCTCCCCTGTAAATGAACTCATGGATTATTGACTACATCCTCAAACTTAAATTTCAGTTGATTGAGTTTTAGGGTTAGACACTATGTCAAAACGGTCTTAAATTAAATTATACGTAATAATAAACATGTAATTTCATGGAACCTTCAAAGTACTTTGATCAATGTTTGATGTTCTCGAAACTCATTCCACGAATTATCTTACCACAGCACGTTCAAACAAAACGGATGGAAAGGAGTGGATGTTTAATTTTGAGGTGGGAATATTGGATGGGATGAAAGTGAAGGTTCCACTACTTAAAGAAAATCTTTCTGAATTGGAAACTAGTAGTAAATGACGCGGCAATATTTTTATTTTGTAGGACCTGCTTATATACTTTTGATGTAAGAGTTCAATATTAGTACCTTGAGAACGAAAATGTTGCAGGAAGAGACTTCTTCCAGGTATCTCTTATGAACCGAATCCAGATACAGAACGTCGGAATACCCGTTCCCTTTGGCTCTAGCTATCGCTTTCAGAACCTGAACACCGTTGAGACCAAAATTAGTCCACCCAACTGTGCAAATAAATTCAGGCAGGGGAACTCTCAATTATAACACTTTTGATACCGGCGCGTAATTGGTGATTGATTTGACGCCTCCTGCTCCACCACGGGTTGCACGATGGAACTCGTCCTCCACATACAGATTCAACGGCGCAAACCCTTCCTGTAGTAAACCAAGCTATCTGTCACTTTACAATGAAATCGATGATTGCCCCACGGTGTCGAGCGGTGCAGGCGATTCAATGTCTCAATTCTGAAGGACCAAGTTAAGGGAACGAGAACCCACCTTGAAATAGTTGCCGACCGGAGAGCAATAGATGAGAAACGTGTATTCCGGCGCCGGAGCTAAACCCATGATCGGACCGCTCCCCATTAGAAGAGGCCTTATGTACATAGTTCCTTTCCCAGGAGGTGGAGTCTTTTTATATAATCATCATTATTTCGAGTGAAATTAGTTGGACATTCGTCAACAATTGTATGGAGAAAAACAGAGGACGAGAGGAAGAATTCTGTTTTTAGTGTTTTACCCAGCGTTTGTTGGCGAGAGCAACTTGCTTAACGGCGTCAACGAACTGATCGACGGAAGGGCAAGGCATACAGATTCTGTCGGCGCCCATCTTCATCCGCAGAGCGTTTTGATCTGGACGGAACACCAGTAGTCTCCCGTCTTCTTTCCTGTACGCTTTTGTGCCTTCGTAAAGTCCCTGAATCCATATTTGTCTTCCCGAGGTCAAGCTTTTTCCTTTTCCGGTAAAAATGAAATGGAATCTCAAAACCTGAATTGGGTTCTTGTTTTATTGATCACTTGCCTGGCCATAGTTGAGAACTCCAGCAGCGGGGCTGAGCTCGAGAGCACCATAGCGGCTGAGTTGTCCTTGATGAAATTCTCCATCTTTTGTTGACTGGTTTATGTACATGTAATCAGCTGGGGTGATTCCGAACCCAAGATTATCCCAATCCACGTCAGCGTACTCATCCTCACTGGGACAACAAAGAAACAAGTCAAAGAAATGGGTAGAAGGGAAAAAAAAAAAAACTCAACGAAACAGAGTAAAAAGAAACAGAGCACATGGTCCTTCGATGAACAGAAGCTATGAAACGCAGGGACCCGCAATCTTACCCGTAAGTAGATGGCCTAATAACTTGTTGCAGGGAAGATACAGCACCCGAATTGTATGAATTTCGAGCTCCAACTCCAATCTGTCATCGAATTGATCCAGCCAGAGCGGAAACCGGTGTTAAAAACAGTGGCTTTACGCCAATCGAACTTCAAACCAATCCGGAGCAAGCAAATCACAACCAATCGAAAACCCAAACAGTAAGGCAAGTAGATTATATATTGAAGGAATTGGTTGAGCCAATCAAAACCAAGAGCGTATATGGAGGGAGAGCGGGGGAAGGAAATTGCCAAAGCTCGAACCTGGGAGGAGAAAGAAGAGATGGCTCGAAGAGACTGAATCAAAGTTCGGATGGATGAAGCCGTTCGAATCATGGTCTCACCGGCTGATTATTACTCTTGTTTCGGCAAACGGCCAAATGCGCGGAGGCTTTATTCAACGTATCTACGATGCGCACAAGGATGCCTCAGCGGAGACGTTTCGTTCTCTCTTTTTTGTTTTTGTTAGTGTCTTTGTTTAAGAAGGAATGGAGGGAGCGATGGTTTATGAAAGATGCAGAGGGCAACTGGGGAAATATCAAATTAATATATCCTGTTATTCCACCTTCTTATCTATGGTTTTATTTATACTAGCCCAACACCCTCCTCTCTACACCATGAATGTATCAACTGTAAGGTAGGGAAGTTATGTTGGATGGTGTGCTCTGTTATCTCCGGTGGATCCACCGAATTATTATTTGAATTTTGAACCCCTAACGATTTCAATTATTCAATGTAAGATACATTGGTGTTAGAACATTTTACAAAAATTATTTTGACGAGGCTAATTAAAATGAAAATAGGAAAAGATGTCAAAAGACGGTTTTGAATACGAACAAAATATAAATTTAATGTCGACAATTCTGCTAAGAGCTGATCGCAAAAATCAGAATCACCCAAACATATGATAACAAAGAAAGGGTCTTCTAAGTTCCAACCCACCAAGTGAGTTATCTTGTCATTAAGAAAATTGTGGTCTTAATTAAAAGTAAATAATCATGCTTAAAACTATGATTAAGAATGACTTCATAATGAAACAACGACTTTTAATATTTCGTCATTATAACTCCATAATGAAACAAGGTAATTAAATAATCTTGTAGGAAGACTAATTTGGTGGTCTTTTGTCCTTTTCTTTTAACCGAGAATGGTAGGCAGAGCATTACTAAAAATAGATAAACTTCTACAGTTCTACTTGTCTAGCTAGAGAGGTGTTTGTTTTTGCAGTGAGGTGTTACGAATTAGTAATCACCATGTTTATTAAGTGCACATTGGGTATAAGCAATATTTATTAATTTTTTTTTAATAAATTACATTTTAGGAAGGGGAGGGAGAGGTGAGAGGAGGAAAGTAAGGGTCGCCGTTTCTTATCAAAAAGAGAAGGAGATGAAACATTTTAGAGTTTGGGAAAAGGAAGGATATAGTAAATTATAAATAATGGTAATAATCTGGAATATTAATATTTTTATTTCAAAATTATCATTAACCTAATATTGACCGTTATTTTAAAAAAATGAAAAAATAGAGCTGATTAAGGGTTTAGATGTAGGTTGTCACAATGGTTACTAAAAAACTAGTATCCACTCTAACTCATCCCGTTTTTGCATAATACCTTTGACGCTTTGTTGACATTTTTAGGCAAAATACACCTTCATACCCATAACTTTCGGTTTTTTGACAATAGTAGTCACTTTTGAGAAATACATAAAATAATCAATTTTGCTCAATTTTTAACGGTGTCATCTAACAGGTTGACTAGACTAACATTTTTTTGCTGACATGTAAGTTTTTTTATTAACTTGTTTGCTGGATTTTTGTCCTTTTATTCTAATTGAGTTAAAGAAAAAATCATAAAAAATAATAATCCACCTCCGCCTCCTCTGTCCTTCATCTCCCTCAATCCCTACCACAATGAAATGTCGCCTCTTCTGCCCTTTATCTCCCTCAATGTTGTCGGGTCGCGATTTGAATCCGTAATCAAATTTGTCTTCTCTCCCACAGAGGACGACAATAAAAGGACTTAACCGCCGCCTTCTTCCTTGATGCCTCAAATCCGAGGCCTGGAGAGACATCAAAGAAGGAGAATTGAAGGATAATCGAGTACCAGACGACACCGGAGGATAATCGAGCGACAGACACATGATCCTTCTCTACTGGCGGTCACCGCCACATCTAGAATCTACCATCATCATCACATCTCTCCCCCCATGATTTCGTGGAACCATTAGAAGCGACGTAGCCCATAAAGCCACTCCCATTCAATAGAGATTGAATTCCATCATTTTCCTCAACCTCTTCAAAAATCAAGGATCTCATATTCTCTTCTAAAACCCCTATTCCAAATCCCTCTTCTATCATTGTCGCCTCCCACCCCTTTTGTCGTGTCGTCCAGGTATGCTTTCAAGATGAAGGACTCGCCCAAGGGTTTCGATCCAACGAGGTTGCAGTGCAAACGCCATCGCAGATAAGAACTTTGTTTTATGATTTTGAATTTCTAAACCGGAAACGACTATCGACCTTCCCAATCCCTCTATCCCTTCCAAATTACAACGCCTTCCTCGTGTGGGCCACGGACTGGTGGAGTCTGGGGTAGGGTATGATGCTAGTAGTGGTAGTGGTGACGGAATTAGGATGGATCAAAGGCGAATCCAGGATATAGTAGAACACTATACCACATTTAAATATAAAATTAAATACCGATTAACATTGGACCAATAGAGATGGTTAGGGGTAGAAGCAAGCAGGTGTCGTTTGCTATACTATCCATGGACTCAGAGGAGGGTTGTGCTATGAACCAGTGGTGGCCTCCCCCTAGACCCACCACTGGATGAGATACGGGTCTAGCACCGACAATGGTGGCGGAAATGGAATTGGATTTTGGAGCGACAACGTTGGAGGAGGTAGTGGGCCAGAGTAGGCGTTTGATATGGCGACGATGGTACCGTATAAAAGGGGAGGGGAAAAATTAATTAAATATTTTAAAATAAAATATGACATGTCATCTACACGTCACTTTAGGCTGATTTGTCATCGTACTGTTACAAACAACTAACGGTGCTTATAACACGTTAAAGTTTGTAACAAAAATGACTAAATTTGTCATAGAATCATCCCAAAATTCTAGCTATTTTAAATATTTCTCCAAAATGAACTATTATTAAACTCAAACTTTGCGTCTATGTAGATGCATTTTGCTAAACTTTTAAGCTAGTATAAGTACAACCAACCTTGCCAAATCCTGACATGATAAAATTCTCCTGACATGTGAAATTCCTCATGGTAAAAATCAGGGACAATACTCTAATTTGTTCGTATTTTGGAGGTAAATGATAATTTTGGTCTAAACTTTCCTTTTCCTATAATTAGGTCTAAAATTTTAAATAAGAAAGTTATGCCCAATTTTGAAAAAAATAAACAAATTTGGCTCAAAATCTGGATTAACTGTCAATATTAACGACCATATATTTTTTTAATCTGTGACTCAGCATTCGACAATGAGGTGGCTATGACATGACTTCCCCATCATCTATGTAGAGTTGAGTAAATCGAAGGACGTCGAAGGATTGTAGAGGGAGAAGGGAGAGGTTAGAGGATGAGAGGAAGAAAGGAGATGGCAATTGTTAAAACCCTATATATAGGCCACATCCATTGTACTCTGTAGTTGAGCCGATATAGTGAAACCTCTTCGAGAGTGTCGTCTCTCACGTGGACTAGTCCTGAATCTCAGGGATACCACGTTAAATCTCGGGTTTCTTTATTGTTTGCTTGATTTTTTACATGGTATTAGAGCCTCTGCTCTAAAGGTTAGTACGTTCTCCTTGGCTGTGTGGTATTGCAACGTTTGGTTGTCTCTTGCCGCTGGTTTATGTTGCTTGCGTGTGTCAATATTGCTTCTAGGGTTCTCCGTTTTTGTTCTCTTGAGCTGCTGTTGTTTTTGGGTCTTGTTCTTGGGTGGTCCTTCTGTGTTTGCGAAGCTCTTATAGTATGGATTTGTCGGAGATGGAGTTGGTCACAGTCAAGTTTGATGGCCGCAATTTTTCGATTTTGGAATTTCAATTTCGCAACTTTGTTGTGGGTAAGTGAGTTCTTCCGGTTTTGACCGGCGAATCCAAAGCTCCGACGGCAGGTTCTGATGTTGCGGTGATTGCTTATTAGGAAGCAGCAAATGCTCAATTGATTACTTGGCTCGCTGGTTCTGTTGATATCCCTACGACCCTCCGCTTACGTCGTTTTCGGTATGCTCATGAGATGTGGGCTCATGTTAATGCTACTTATTCTCAAAACAGTGCTTCTCGTCAATTTGAGTTGGAGGGTGAGATGAGTCGTCTTGTTCAGGGCAATGCAGTCAAAAGCGTGATTCTACGTAGAAACGATTTGATGACCTAGAAACGTAAAATCGTAAGATTTTAAGTTTTAAAGCGTAGATTTTGACTACATTTATAAGGGAAAAGTGTGATTCTACTTAGAAGCGCTTTGGTGACTTAAAAGTGTAAAAGCGTAAGTTTTTAAGTTTTAAATCGCGATTTTGACTGCATTGGTTCAGGGTGATCGGGATATTCGCGGTTATTATCAGGAATGTCTTCAGTATATTGAAACATCTTTGAGAGAATCGTCTCTCACGCGGACTAGTCTTGAATCTCAAGGATACCACGTTAAATCACGATGTTCTTTATTATTTGCTTGAATCTTTATAACAATGATTTGTGGAGATGTCATTAATGATGGGTGGTGATGTCGGAGGAGAGAGGAAGAAAAAGATGAGTCGACGGCCGGCGATGGAGAGGGAGAAGGGGAAGATCGAAGGATATAAGGAGTTAGAGAATGACAAAAGGTGTTAGTTGTATGGGTGAGATTAGTTGTAGGTTTTAAGAAAATGTTTAGGAATAGATTTGGAAAAAAATCAAAGTGAAATATGAGATTTCAAAAAATTTAAGGGCAACTATTTTTAAGAATTTACAGTTGCGGGATTTCAAATTTCGTCACATGAAAAATTCTGCAACCATCAAAACAAATAATTTTGCTAAAATTCCATGTTATGTGGAATTGGATAAAGTTTTTTTTTTTTTTGATAATGGTGAACAAATTTTATTAAAACAAATAAAGTTACAGGAGAGAAAAGGGTGGGAGAAAGAAAAGGAAAGAAAGGAAGGAAATGCTACGGTACAGAAGCTGCAGAGACAGTACAAATACAGGCAGCAAACGAGGGGACTAAACATGGCGCCCAAAACAAAATCCCACCCGCTTAAGAACTAGCCGAACCGATCGTAGCCTGCCGCAACGCTTCTATCCAAGGATCAGCAATGTCCTTATCCACTTTGTTTGCCACAACCAACCATCTCGCAATCAAACTACCAATCTTAAACGCAATGACATTCTCCGTAGTTGCTCTGTCTTCAAAGATCCTATAATTCCTTTCTCTCCACACACTCCAGCACAGAGCATGCAGAAACGTCCTTGTGCACCAGTCCTTCGGGCAAGCAGGTTTCCTACGTGGCCAAATCTGTATTGCCTGTGATATGTCCAACGGTACCTGCTCCAAGTGCACGAAAGTTTGCATTCTATCCCAGATTTTGCGGGTGAAGCAGCAAGTGATAAAGATGTGATTGGCATCCTCTTCGCTTGATCCGCAGAGAACGCATTTGCTGGGGAAGC